AAAATCTTAGCTTTCACATTTTCATAGCTCAGTATGGTGCTATAATGTATCAGTTTACATTGATCAGCAGATCCCCATGTCCTAAAGTAGAGCAGCACCTGTTACACTGCCCAGCGAAAAGGACTTTGATCTGGCTCCTATACAACTAATTTAGTGACATTTTATTTTTCAATATTGGTTTTAATTATTTCAAGAAATTGCACAGAACAAGGTGTTGTTATTGTACAGATAATAGTGTGTAACAGAAGACTCTTCCTTCACTTATGAAGGAAATCTCATCCAAAAACTCCATTTACCACTCATTATACTCAAACACAGAAATTCAGAGACAAACGCTTACATGCTTTCCTTCTAGCGTACCCCAGTCAGAAATGAACTTTCTGTTCTTCTTCCCTATTTCACCACAAATTTTAGCCCCTATTCCCTGGCGCACACAGAAGCAGGAGCTCCCGTGTGGGGTTGTACGAAGTCGTCTCAGCTTAATGCACCAGTACTGCCGCTTTCACCTCAGCTCCTCAGTGGGCAGAAAACCCAAGCAGCAGCAGGAGGTCACATTCTCCTTCCACATCCTTCTCTGGAGCCACCTCAGAGAGATCAGCAACACTCACAGTATGAACATAATGTCCTTTGCTGCACACCCCAAGAGAGATGCCTTGGGAAGAGCTTCCCTCAGTAATCAGTGCACAGGTTTTGGTAGATGAGGGGGTGTTATCTGCTGTGCCTGGAGTCTCTGCCTCAGCCCCTGAGGACACCCACTAGCTAGAAGCCAAAACAACTTGCCCACTCTGGGGGCACTCTGAGTCCTTCCTTTAAAACATTGTGACTCTTATTTTGGAAAAGGTGAAAGCAATTTCTTTCTTCTTACCTCCCTCCCCTGCTTTTACACACAAGAACAAGTGAGCAAACTCCAAACCAAGAAAACCTGACACATCCTTGTCACTGAGTACACTATCTTACCCTCATCAGTTCATAGTTCATGTCCAGAAAATTCTCTTGCTGCAGTGGTTCATGTGATAACAACAAGCAGAAACTTGACAACACACAGCTGAAACTTCTCTTAGTTATGGGTATAAATCCCAACCTTAGAGTTCTAGTAATACATTTCTAGGCTGAATGTCTCCATTCCACTTCCAACTTTTATCATCTATATTTTAAAACAGATTTCCCCAAGTAAGGATGTGAATTTTTTTTGGGGGGGGGGKGGGGGGAAGGAGGAGGCAAGTAGGTTCTTTTTGAATAAGAATCTCTGTGAACAGAAGTAGTAATATGACATAGTCATTATTTTACAGAACTACCCTCTGAGGAGCAATAAGATTTGGAGGTGCTTGGAGGAAAAGAAGTCATTAATAGAAGAATTATGCTCCCCAGCTCCATCAACTATCAACACCTTCCTCTGTTTCCTTTGTGAAGGATTTGGTTTGCTCTCAGAGGAGAATAGACAGCTGAAGAACAGTGGTCACAGCTTTTCCAAAATATTGGAATAATGAAAAAAAAAAAAAAACAAGACTGTTTTTGGGGCAAGAGAACAGATGTCACTTCTTGGCTCTGTCAAAATTTTCTAATTGACCTTGGCTGAGACACAGCAAAATTTCTCTGTGCCCGAGTCCTTTTGTTAAGCAAGGATTATAAGAATGCTATAGTTATGAAACACTGAGATAGCTCCTTAGTGTAACACATCTCTCCTAGGAAGCTTATGTCAAGCAAGTGGGATGTCATCAATCTCATATCCAGGTGGACACTGCTGGATGATGCAGGCAGCGATGATGCTCAACAACCTTCTGTGCAATAGAGTAACTTCTAATACAGATAAAATTATCCTTGTGGAATTATTCAGTTCCAAATAAAGTAGAAACTGAGCATATTTAATCTACTCGTGTTCACAAACCCACCTCAGGAAGGCAACAGCTTGAGTAAATAAGGAAGGTATACTGATATATGACCTAAGAACTAGTTTCTCATGGGATCTTATGCATCTTAATTGGACATAAGCGGATACCGAACACCTAAACACAAACTGCAAGTCTGGAAATAGTCTTTCCTGCTGTACTATCTTTGTCAGAGCTTTCTTCCACTTATGGTCCTATTCTTTGCACATCATCCCAAGTTGCTGCCTGGGCGTATTAGTAACTTCTCTGTGACCTGCATCCTATGGGATCCTATGTGTTTTATGCTAGATACCGGAATCTGCACGGGGCATGAACACACTTTGCACACCAGTAGGCATCTGCACTAAAGGAAATACCACAGCAATTGCTGTTTCACTTGAGTTTCCTGCCCTGCACCAGGTATCATAATATATAAGCAGCTTTGTGTCACCCACAATGGACAGACAGGGGAAGCAAATCTCCAGTTCTCACATATACCCACACATAGATATCTATATAAAGCTATCCTAAGGAAAATGAGTCACCACAAATCATTTTTTACAGTAAAAGAGAAGATAGCTTGCTCAAAGGAAGGATCCAGGCTGAAGGAAGGCCCTCGCCTACAAACCAGAGCTAGCACCCACATTTTAAGCAGAAATGAGACTTACAAAATGCTTTATAATGCACAAGAACTGGGAAAGAGCAAAGAACGGTGGCCAAAGGTCTGCAGCTGCTTCCATGTAAGGAAATGATTGAATAGTCCAGGACTCTTCAGTCTAGGAAACAGATGACAGAGGGAGGATATGCAGAAGGGTGTAAAAACACAGAAGTCATGGAGAGGGCAGATGCGCTCCAGCTTTTCGCTGTATTTTCCAGTTCAGGAATGAGGGGCATCAACTTCATCTCCAAATAAGAATTCAAATTGGACAAAAAGAAGTGGTTGTCTTGAAATGGGCGGAATTCCTTGCAAGCAACGTCATAAACGCTAAAGCTTTATATGGCTTAAACCGGCAATCAGATCAGCTAAGAACCTGTGGTTCCCTAGTCATCCATTTAAGATTATTGGGAATTTGAGTGTAGGAATACATTTTTAATTCAGGAGAAAGGGCAAACAGTGTCCTCCTCTCCACAAACTTCACAGTCAAGTTTCCTTGATCTTTGGAAATAGGTCAGGAGTGAGAGGGATGAGTCTCAATCCCTGAAAACACCCTACTTGATGAGCACATCTCCCTGTCAGGCGAGTATCACAGAGAGCACACTGGGCTGGGTAACCTCTGCTTTGACCCAGTACAGCCATCCTTAGTTCACCCAGCCCCACTGCATCTCCATGGACTGTTTGAGCACACACTCACCTTGCTGGAATATCTAACTCCATGCATGCCCTTGCTTCGGAGTCAACGCTCTGAGCGCTAGGTAACTCAAGGATACCTTGGCACTGAAACTTCAGGCTTCACAAATCTTAGCTTCTTATCAGAGCCAATACTTACAGCCATCTCCAGGCTGTGTAAATAGTCAGCACATGGCTCTCAAGTACTAAACAGAGAGTACAGCGTCTGGAAAAATGGACCCGAGTAGCGTGTTCAGACACTAAACTAGGACCCAGACATCATACACAGTAGAGAAAGGCATTCCTGAGGAACAAGCAAAAAAATTGTGCTAAACGGGGAGAGACCTAGAGGCAGCCAATGGGAAATTGTATTTCAGGAATACACCTCTCTAGAGATGAACCTATCTACTTCTACCAGGTCAAGACACAGTCCTGAAAAGCCAATGGGTCTAGCCTGGTGATCTGAGACTTTCAGCTGAGATGGAGCAGCTGTAAGGGACAGATGCTTGAATAAACATGCATTAGAATGCTTTAGATGCCTATGGTCTTGTAGCTTTACTGGTGCTCAGGTTTTATACCATCTTGACCTGACTTCTATGCAAGTTGCATAGGAAATGTTTCTGTGCTATTTTGGAACTTGCCCTTAATACAAACAGGCCTTGAGAGGAGAATCAGTTAACTAAATAGAAAGAGTCTGATGAAAACTTAATTAAAATACATGGAAGTAACTCCATTGTACATCCCACTCCGGGAATATATGAACCTTATGGAGTGTGAGTTTTTGAGAACCTAAGGGATTTTTAAATTCTCGAAGGACTTGCAAAATGAATTTGGTCTCTTTTTACTCTGTCATTTAAACTCATAGTTTGTTTTATTTCATATAAGGATAATTCAATTTTTTAAAACCCACAAAAATGTTTTTCTAGCTACAGACAATCATGTGCAATGTATTAAGGATAGAACAGCCTCCAAGTTCAAGGTTTGGCACAGTCTCTGTTCTAAAGACATACTTACAAAAATTAGGATTTCTTTTCTTTCCCTTTTCTCTGCTGCTTTCCCAGAGTATCTCTTTCTTTTTTCAAACGACCAGCTCCTCTGCTTCTTTTCTCATCTTTTTTTACTGTGTATATATTTCTGTCTTCTCCCTTTTTCATAGTCACCTTTAAACAGATACAGAAGATGTGCTCCCAATAACGCTGAAATCTAAGTCAAAATTTTAATGAATAATATTGCAGTGGACATGATATCTGTCAAAATGTTTTAGCCCACTGCTAATAGGAACAGGATGTCCATGGATTATTTCCAGCATTCCTTCTTGTGAGTTTACCGCTTCTGATTCACAAGCAGTGCATTTTGAATAGAGCTAAGTCAAATCTTCAGAGAGTATTCACTCAGATAAAATTTGGAATTTGTTTGGGTGCCTTCATTCTCCCTTGTGTATGCTCCCTTCACCCACCGTGAGACTACGAGAAGTGAAATGATGACAGAAATGATCAGAATAAGACGTAAATTACAAGGGAATATTTTTTAAAATGTATCTGTTGGGAAGAATCCACAGATTAAAAATAATTCCCATAATTTATCAAAAAAAAACATAGTAAATTTGAGAAAACTGTAAGCAATAAATGGGCATTTTTAAGGGGGGAAAAAAAAAAGTCTAATTTGCATAGATGGTATCAGTGAAATAGCACAAATATTGAACATTTCCTTATCAGAAATAGGGTTAAATTAGTTAGTCATTATTCCATAACAACTGCCAAGACTCCCTTGAGCCAAAAATGTCTTAATCTTTAAAATCAAAGGTTATTTGAAATTATTCACCCTGGAGAAACATGATAACATTTGTGTGAAGGATGGAGCAAGAAGCACTGGTTTCAAAACAGAGAGCTTCCTTCTTGGGCCCAGATGATTTCAAGTGCAACAGCATCATCCCCACGGGCTCTGCTTTCTGCCGCTCGGGAGCTGGAATCAACACAAGTGAGAAAAGGACGTTGAAAAGGATTCATCCTCATGTACTTAATCCAAAAATTATCTTCCTTCTCACAGAAAAGAGTTACTTTATAAAACAGACTTTTCCAAATAACTCCCCAAGTAAACTAGACAATTTCCCCAGTTTATTTAGTTCCTTTATCAGAGTTGCTCCAGATTACTTAAAATTATAGCAGGTACAAGCCAATTGGAGGATACTCAGAAAGCTAATTTTTCAGAGGGAAGATGTTCAAAGAAAGGAAACTTGGATTTAAAGTAGGGCAGTTTCTGCAGAATGCTAAATAAAATGCTATGAGAGGAACAAGCTTTACTAGCCTTATTTTTTATGTAAAGAGTAAATAGAAGATGCATTTTCTTATCAGCCAGCGCTGGTTTTTGAGAACCTGGCTTGCAGAGGGAAGGATATGGTTTATGGTTTTTTTGCGGGGGGGGGGGRGGGGGGATTGAGTCACAAAAAGTATAACAACTCACAGACTACAGCAACTCAAATGTTCATATTTTGAAGACTACATGCTTCTCCAAAGTCTGGATTAAAGCCTTTTCTTCTGTCTAGGTGCATTGCGTCAGGCCTACCTGAACAGCAGAGCTGCAGGAGCCCTGGACATTTGGCACTGGTTTAAATACCCAGGTAAGAATATTGAGTTATGTGTTGAATCTGGACATTGATTTTTTTTTCATATGTTTGCATTTGCAAACATTTTTTTTTGCAGTGGAGCTACTGACGGAAGCCAAGTGAGCAGACTTTGGACCTGCCTTTTCATGATGCATTTCTAAGGAGAAGGCGGACGACCCACGTGCCAGTCTTTTCTCCGCTCCATATCTTTCGAAGCAGAGTGATAAACTCCTAAGTGCAGACCGCAAGCGTTAGCATTAGTATTTGTCCATTACCACGTTGTTTGGGAGCCCTTGGCACAAAGGCTACATATCGGCTGCAGGCAGGCAGGACTAGGGGAACAAGGCCAGTATTAACTGCAGTTATTAGAGCTAGCTCTAACCAGATTCAGAGTTCAAAGGAAAATTTTGGGAAATATTGGGCCTTGGTTCAGCCGAGCCACTTTGGCTGCTTCTGCGATCGTTGCTTAGCCTGGATTCTTGAAACCCTCAATTGCTAATTCTGATTTGCCTTGAACCAGAGCCCCTTTTCCTGTCAAAACGCCCAGATGTAGAATCAAGAGAGGCTTTGGAGTAGGAGAGAGTGCCATTCCCCTGCTCGGAGCAATACGTGAAGGCGGACTGAGCAGGGGAACTGCCGCCTCGTACACGGCAGGCCGCAGGCGCCCGAGGCCCGGGCCTTGCCACCGAGGCAGCGCTGAGCTCTGCTGCGAGCGGTTGCCGCAAAACCCACGTGAAACGAAACAGGAGGAGCTGAAAAAGGGCATCGGGGAGGGAGCGGCCGCGCTCCGTCTCTTCAGCAGTTACTGCAGGACACTTGTGTAACTCACAGTTCTTCACTACTGGGAAACGGAAGTGGGTTATTTCCTTTACAATGGCGATGGCAGGAATATTTATTTATTATTTCATAGGCAGTTCCTTTCCTTTACAACCTGCCCGGGCTTCAGTCAGGCAACAATGCAGGGCTGTTAATTAATTACCCAACCTCACATGTGAAGTAATAACCTGTGTGATACGCGGCTCTTGCTCCATAAACGAGGGCTCAAAATGAAATGTCTTTTGATGATAAGAGTGCCCGTTCTCTGGTCCCCCTTGACATGGATCTCTGCTACAGTGAATCTACAGGACGGGGTATAGGGCACTGAGGGAAGGGTATGGATTTCACAAACTACATGATAAAATGTTTATGTCGTAAATTCTTCTGCACCCACGGTTAAAAAGGACATGCAGCATCTTGCTACATTGCTGTAGGAGAACCTGCAAACCATAAGCAAAAATAATGAAAGAAAATAAATAAACATTTTTAAGGATCTGATCCTGCAAGTTGTTGAGTCATCGCCCGGTGATCTCCATGGGAATGTCTGTGCTTAAAGTGCAAAAGAACATACTTAAGAGTGTTGCTGATTCAAAGCCAGAGAATTTTCGAGAACTTATAGGAACTTTTTGTACCTACCTTTTACAACTGGATTTATGAATCATTGTCCTATTATAAATAGAGACGTCATTATGTTTATGACACAGTGTTTTCTTTTTCTTTTTTTTTCACCAATTTCCGCTCTGGCCTTAGGAGAACAATTTAACCTTGCACTTTCCCCATCGCTTCCTGTGTTCCTTCCACGCAGCTCATAACGCTCTGCTGATCTCTTCCCCTCCTGCCTGCAACCTCTCGCTTACTGCAAATCGCACAGTCATTAATAGAATCAGTAACATTGTCTTGGAAACGTTTTTAAAGTCACTAAGGTTTTCTGGATTGTTGCCTGTTAGTGATCTGCCTAACGAGGAATACTGTAGTACTGTAAAAGAGCTCTTGGCCAGTTTAGCTGAGATTGTTGCCCATGTTATTGACACTCTTGAAAGAAAAAATGGGATCATATCACAAACCAGGAGCTTCATTCTTACAGAAAGAAACACTACAGAGGAGCTCACTGTGGCTCAGATGATGCAGGTTTAAGAAGTCTTTACCTTTAACCAAAATGGCATGCAGCTTGCTTTAATGAACAAATGCTGTAATGCTTCTGGCATTCTCCACTAGGATCAAAACAGCTGGCTTTGGAGAAGAGCAAATTTTCAGCAGAACATAAAATAGTTTATAAATGCTGTAGTGCCTCTGATTATAAAGAAAAACCTTTCCAAAGTAAATGGCTGCAAAAATGGGTCTGATATATGATACCAGAAAGTACTCTGGATCTTAAAGCCAAAGAAAAAAATTGTTGCTCGTGTTTTATCATACTGAAAAGCATAATGTAGGTGCATATTTGTGCACTACTGGCCAGAAAAAGAAAAAAAAAAAAAAAAGAAGAAGTTGAACCTCAAAAAGTGAAACAAAAAATGTTCAACCTGTGCCACATCATCCGCCCTATCTTCTGATTCACATATAGGACATTTTTACCTATTTATCTCAGAATAACCAGGGAAAGTTTACTGTCCCAGGGGGTTGCCTCACTCATCGCGGGCTGCAAACACCTCAGGAGGTGCTGTGGTGGGAAGGAGGGATGAGTGCCAGAACGTGGGAAATGTGAGAACTCCTGGCACTGACGCCACCCTTGCGACACAAACCTGCATCCCAAGAAACCTCCTCCGGCAGCCTGGGACCAGCAACCGGGAGGTGGGAAGGAGGCTGCACGAGCTCCCAGCACCTCGCATGAAAGCGAGAAGCAGCTGACTCTTCCACAGCAGCTCTGAATTTCAAAATAGCTAATTAGCTAAGCTAATTAATCATAGACATTACAAAAGGAAAAAAAAGGTCCAGCTAATACAAAATGCAGCTAAAAATTCCTCCTTTTGCTGGAATTTTTCATCCCTTCAGACGTTATCATGTTATTTTACTGACACTGCCTTCATCTGATGCACCTTCCTTAACTGTGAGGCTAGATGTAGAGAAAAGCTGAGCCCAGTCGCTCCAGCCGTGGCAGAGCCGGTGTCGTGGTTTCCCCTACAGACTTCCTTGTGCTGCTGTTCCAGTCTCAGTGCCCATCCCGGGAGGGACAGCGGCACCTTCCCATCTGCTGGCACCACTGCGGGTGCTCTCCTCTAACCCAGTTCTGTCAGAACCGCTTCGAGCACTTCCTTAAACATCCCTCACGATGAAGTATTTAAAATTATTCAAATCCTTTCAACAGAATAATGTTAATGTCAACCGTGCTGGAGCCCGGGGGGGCAAAGAAAAGCTATAAAACAAACAAATAAATATATAATTTTTGATCTTTTTTTTTCATATCATATTGCAGAGAAAAATCTAAATTACCAGTTTATGTTTCAACTTTGACATTTAATTTTAAGTAAAAATGCTTCGAATGAGAGTTGTGCAATTACAAGGCAAATGAGTTTCTTAGAATGGACTTTTCCAAACTATAATAAAATAAGGAGAATCCACTATCTTATCTTATCTACCTTCTTCTTCTATCTACCTTCTTGCTTTTCTACTTTCTTCTTTTATGTACCTTCTTGCTTTTTGCTATCTACCTTCTTGCTTTTCTACTTTCTTCCTTTATGTACCTTCTTGCTTTTTCTTTTTCAATTTCCTTTTTCTATTTAATCTGTTTCAGTTCTGGTCATGTGGTGCTGATTGCATAACATTTGTTCTCTTTTGGATGAGTGTTGTATTGAGTAAACCTAAAGCTAAGTCCAGATCAGTTCATGCAAAATTTGGCTGTGCCAGAAATGTTGAACTGGACCTTTCCGATGGCAAAAATCACTTATTATTCAATGTACAAGATCTTATAGACTTGGTTCTTTTCTAACTATCCTGATACAAATCAGTATTTTGTTTTATATCAGGCTGCATTTCTGTTGACTGAATCCATGTAGCAAAAGTCAACTTTTCTGAATCATTTCTATCATAAGGGAAAATTACCTGCGTGACACTTCATTATTTAGTATAATTTGTTCATGTCTTACTGCTTTCAAATGAAAAGCAGGGCTATCCTTAGAGTCATTGCAATAGCCAGCAGGTACAGACAATTTTACCTTAAATTAAATAAGCAGATATTTCTCGAGAGACCTTACAAAATCCTAGGTTTGATCTCATCAGAAATCCTTCCTTACCATTCCTAAAACAGAGCAGTCATGTATCAGTTTGTGTGATTTTTGCAGCTGATCTCAAGGTTGACAGACAGGCACAAAGTTTTAAAAGTGTTTGCTTGTGGATGTCTACTTTTTCATATGCTGGTGTAAATGGCAGAACGTGTAAGTCCCAGTACAGCTCAGACTATTTATCTTGTTGTAACTGGCCTTGGAAAAGAAAGCAATCACTGTTATCAAGAACAGCGAATTCATCTCCATCACAAGTTTGGAAAGACTTTAGAGGAAACTGCAAGAGAAAAAGCACTTCTCACATAAAAAAATACATCTTCAAAAATACTTGTTTTTTAAGGTAACTGTGTATTAGGTATCTGTTTTAAGGTATCTGTTAATTAGAAGCTATTGGGGAAAACAAGTGCAATAGAAATATTAGTTTAAAAAATATGAAATTTTGAAAAACTTGTGCAAAACCTGAATATATGGGATGGCTTGTGTGTTCACATGGGGCCACTGAAGAAAACTAAAAACACTCATGCCATCTTTTTTTTTTCTGAGCAAGATATGATTTCCTCTTCAGGAATGCTATTTATAGAACTAAAATCAGCAAAAACATTTTATTCCTTTATTCAGAGAACCATATACAGACTGGTTTTCTAGGCATCTATCTCCCATGTATCTCATATGCAGACCACCACAACAGTTCTGGCTTCTCAATGTTTGTTCTTCTCTTTCCAGTTCTAATTCCTTTCCATATTCCTAACTTTCCTCCTCCCTGGCCTTAACACCTAGCTTCTTGAGAAACTCAGCTAAAACACATTTATTTTTTCATAGGACAGTTTAAGTTATGAAACTATCTTATAAATTCCAAGGATCGTATCTGAGCCTTATTTCCATACCCATGCAAAGGTGAGAAACGCAGCAGGCAGAGCTCCCTGGTCATGTGGAAGAGGGCACAGATGCTGCAGATGTTTCTTTCCAGCTTAAGGTCTCGTGAGGACCCCCATCAGAAGTGCTGTTTGTGGGAGGTGTTCAGTGGTCTCCAGGCCTGGGGGATTTGGCAAAACATCAGTCCATGTCTATCATGTCATGGCATCTCCCTGGAATAATCCTCCATCCCTCCTGTGCCTGTCCTGCAGGCTTCTGTAATTAGGAGCTGGGATCAGGACATGCCATACCCATCGCATTGTACAATATTTACCCTGGATCTGGCACTTTTCAGTGTTTTCCTTAATGATTTGCATAATGGAATCAATTGCACTCTTACTAAGTTTGCAGATGATGCAATCCTAGGACAATCCGCCAATTTTGGTTTGAATCCAAAAGGATAAACTGGAGGAACAGATAGGGTGCATTACTGAAGTAAGACGCATGTGGACATTAAATAAAATGCTTTTCACTAAGGACATATCCGAAGTCCAACACTCGGGAGTGATTGACTGAATAAATATAAGATGGAGAAGGGCTAGGCAGCAGTTCCATAAAAAGGATGAGAGGTCAAATTGGATCACAGACTGAACATACGTCAGAGATACCCCAAGGCTACAACTACAGCAAATATCACCTTGGAGAAGTGTCAAGAGGGAGGCTTCACTCAGGCGGAGCGCCGTGTTCACCCTGAAGCATCGCGATCCGGGAATGCCGGGAATCCAGTAGAGATAGCGCAGAGGGAAGCACTGAGGGAGATGTGAGAAACATCGGAAGGACTGAGGCTGCTCGTCTACCACAGATAAGACTGCAGGGAGACATAATAAGGGTTCTCAGGAGCAGAGGGCCACGGCAGAGCAGTCACACTGCACTCGAATGGCAACGGGATGGAATCGGGGCAGGCATCAGGAAGGGCCTCCGTCCCTGAGGGCACTGACTGGGAGGCTGGAGCCAGGTCTGTGAGGAGACAGGGGACAAAACTCGGCCAAAAGGTGGATTGGTCCCAGGCAAGACAGGCCTGGAGAACAGGGGAGGGAGCAGCGGGCTTCCCTCAGGCAGCTCCGTGCCTATTTCCTGCAACTTCTGTGATGAAATGTTCACCAAAACCCTCGAATCTCTCCAGGAGCAAAACTCAAACACGTCTGCAGCTTTGGAGACGTACCAGCTTAAACACACACTGAGAAAGAGAAAAAAATCCACTCCTCTCCTACTTAAAGGGGCTAGTTTAAAACCTAAAAATAAATGTCAAAGACCAGCTTCCCCCCCAGCAACAGTGAGAAAACGCATGAAACATAAAAATAGTTTCCAGCATTTGCCAATATCAATGACAAAAAAAAAAAGTCAATAACAACATGATTGCTAAAAGCAAGCATGACTCCACTGACGCCTAACAATTCTGTATGAAGGTTAAGGGTTTTTACAAGGACATGCTTCATGACAAAATCAATCAACAAGCTTTAGCAAAATAACCATTGCTCATGCAGACCCTTTTTTTTTTAGAATATTCACTTCATTATTCAAAGCTATTTTTATCTTGGAATGTTTTTTCCATAGGAGAATTTTAGCTCCAGAGTTAGAATAGATTAGTTATTACAACTATTTCAACACCATCAGCCATAGGGATAAGTCTGGCTCCCCAGGCTTCCCGTTAACTAGGACCTGATTTTTGGACTCCAGGGTGGGTTCACTGAAATTTTTTTATCTAGATAAATTCTAACTGGGTTTTGAATTTAATTATCACTGTGCTTGGGAACACCTATCATATTTTCTGGTATTGCCTATGTTGGCAGGAGAAAAGAAAGTAGTGCTTTGGGTCAAATACCTCTCCTGTACAGACAAGAGCATCTCTCTGTCACTGATACTATTGCAACTGCACATTTTCACAGAGAGGTAGAAACTTGGAGGCGGATGGCACAGATAGTTTGGGATAAATCAGCCACGGATGGTAATTTTATAGTAGCAGAGAATCCCCCTCAGTGTCCTACGCTGCGTCACCAGTATCTATAGCACTGGGTCTTAGTCACTGCCTGTGTCTCATTCATGTGATCGACACCCAGCACTCACAGAGTACGAGGCAAGCAGAGGAATTTCATGCTTCAGAATTGCAACAACAGGATAAATTATATAAAATCGTTTCACTTAACTGTTGCTGCTTTTGCACCAAAGTAAGGTTTTTAGGCATTAGAATAAAAGCTTGCAAAAGAAGCATATCCTATGAAGAATATTGCATTTCAATTTAAAAAGAAAGAAGTAAGAAAACAAACGAACCAGTTACCCAAGGAGGAATTTCAGGTTCTGTACATATAGCGCTCAAACTCAGAAATACATAGATAACTCATTGAACAAGACTCTGTGTAATTTTGAGAATACAAATACTTTTAAAATTTCACAATAAGGTATTTATTTCCTTCAAAACATTGAGTAACTTCCTCAAAATATACTATCACAAAAGGTCAGAAGAGGAAATAACTGGTTCTATACCACAGAAATATCAAAATGTAGCTATTTCGTGTTTCATCTCCACTGGATGAAGGGATGTATAAAAACAGAAAGCCAGGAGTATCAGTTGATACTCATGTTATTTTTTATTTATAGACTTGGAAAATGGTGAAATACTATACTTAAGGATACACATACCATTAGGAAACTCTATATTAGCTCATCTTGAGAGACTTTTGAAATGTATTTGGCCTGTATATTTAGACATGGTATTAAGTATCCGGTTATAGAAATGAATGAGAAATAGCACAGAAAAGTTTTGAAGTTTTAATTCTGACAGTTCTTTCCCTATATCCCTTTTACTTATCTGACATGAGTAGCACTTGTTCAAATATGTGAAGAAAAAAAATGCTCTCTCGCATTCTCACTAATCATAAAGGAGGTGGAATTCGCAGTCGGCGGTTTAAACAGCAAAGATTGCCAGATGTTTGTGACCACAAACGTAGGGAAAGACAAAGGGTCCAGAGCTGAGGGAAGGACACCTGAGCTTTCCTGCTGCATGCCATACAGGACAGAGCCCTGGAACAGGCTGGCAAGAGAGGTTGTGGAGTCTCCTTCTCTGGAGACCTTCCAAACCTGCCTGGATGCCGCCCTGTGCCACGTGCTCTAGGTGACCCTGCGTGTACAGGGGGGTTGGACTAGAAGACCTCTGAAGGTCCCTTCCGACCTTAAGCATTCTATGATTCTATGACAGCTTGTGTTAGTTTAAATTGTCCTGGAAAGCTACAGACTTTGCACTGAAACCGAGGAAAGAAGCTCCCGGCCACGCTGCTCCAGGGCGGCCGCGGGAGCGCAGCAGGCCCGGCCCACACGTGGCGGCGGCGCCGTTCTCGCGGCGCGGCTCCTCTCGTGCCCTTGCTGCGCGCTTGGGGGCCGCAACCAGGCTCGGCTGGGAAGGATCCGGCTTGGAAGGCAGCGCGAGGAAGAAGTGACGGAGGGAAATGCAGGTGGCCGCCCACACCGGGTGGCACCGCTACGTACTGCAGCAGCTGAGCGCGCCCGAGCACCTGGGGATCCAAGAATTAGTCATAGAAGTTCTGATACTCCATAAAGGACTCCGAGTGGGTACAGCAACTTCATATGTTTTACAGGCACACAAGAGAAGAATATTTGCAATTGTGTCTACTATTGGAATATTGTTTTAAATATTCATGTGGTCTCACACAGCTAGGGACATCTAGGTATGGCTGCAGTGTGGGTGCATGTGCATACAAAAGCACAAAACCATGGCAATATTGTAGAGTATTATAATCTTATGTGCTTTAAAATCGCCTTTGCATAGTCCTCCTTTTAATTTACAGAAGTACAATATTGCTTAACATTTGGCGATAAAGAACAGAAAACTTTGAGAGAAAATGTTATATATAGTGGCATGTTTTATACCCTATAAGCTAGTATAAGACTTTACTGCTCTTCAGTATTTCTGGCTTTCAGATTTATAATGGTTAGGAAAGAAGATCAGCTATACTTAAAAATGCAAAGACTGTCCCCTGCATGCTGCATTTAGATGCTCACTTAGAGATGAACTAAGCCGCGCGTTCCAAAACAGATCATCAACATCTAATATTGTCCTCATCATGATTTGCAAGCAGCTGGTGCGTTAGACTACAACTAAAATAAAAATAAAAATAAATGCGTAGTACTCAGTAAGAAAGTATTTTGTTTACCCATGAAATCTTGTAGTGACTCTACACAGGCAGACTCCCACACCTTCCTTTTATTAACTGCAGGATTGGGGCCAAATTCCTACCGAGTGCCTTTGACTATAACCAACATAATATTATGTAAATATACACTCCCAGAGTAGTAAAAGGAGTCTTGATGTGCTGTAAAAAAAAGAAATGTTTTCATTTCTACTGCATGACTGTGTACTGAAAGTCACCATACTTTAAGAAAGACGGAGCTAACTGGCACGAACCTACATCATCTTCCCAGGAATTAGGAAGGATAACAGACTACGAAGGTGCACATGGGAGGCTGGGCCCACCTTACCAAGCTGAACAGTGAAATCAGGCAGCACCAAGCAAAGAGACAGTCTATTCGTTATGATTTTTCCATTGCACTTCACAGTAGCCTGTAAATGTACAAGCAGCCAGCAGGCTTTGAGTGTGGGAGTTGCAAGGCAGGGAATGGCCTCACGGATGCACAGCTCTGCTGTGACCCGGCTCACCAGGCCCTGCGCCCGGGACGTTCCCCCTCTCCCGCCGCGCCAGGGGCAGCAGGACAGGCCGAGCGCTTCCAAGCTCGGGCACAGGAACACCTGCAGCACAAACGGCACTGGGATGCTAGGAGCTTGTTGGGATACCAGGAAAATACGAGTGGAGAGAAGTCAAAACAGCTCTGGGCGGATCTGACCGCTTTGCACGAGGGCTGTGACACGGTGCTACGAGTCGAGCAGCGAATGAAGCGACCAGCTCTTGACAACTCTCTTGCCTCCCCGTGACTCCTTTTTATGAGTCCCACTCTGGCTCCAGTCTTTTTTGGTTTTTTTTTTTTCTTATAAAGCTTTATTACCGTTTCATTCCAAAACTTTTCATAAAATCAAAAACCACAGAGAGAGAGGCTGGGTTTTTTTCAGTGTCATGAGGGATTTACAAGGTGCTAATCTGATCTAGGGAGAAAAGGTCACGGACACCAGGTAGATACCGAGAAGTCAGGCAGACAAACTCAAGCCTGCTCTTAGTGG